TATAAATAACTAAGAACTATACCAAAAAGATGTTAAAATATAAGAGTCAACACAAAAGAGATACTGAAGAGAAATATACAAAGATAATGAGATACTACCACTCAAAACAGGCTGTACTGCCCCAAATTTAAAGCATTATTCCAAAGTATGATGCTATGTTCATAATGCATTTTGAAGAGTATGTTTAATTCACTCAGGCTTACATGATTTCATCTACGTTCCTGTTATCAACTAAAGAACATTTTTTTCCTAAGATTTCTAGAATGTATACATATAATAATAATTATGAGTTATTCATTAAAACGGATAATTAGTTCATATTCCTACTTCATCTCTTTTAATGCAATATATAAAATTTGAAAATAACACATGATAACAGCATAAGGATACCACTCATCATAGCTGCCAGAAGGAAAAAGAAAATTTTGATTGGAGATGGTATGGGGATAAATAAAGCAATTATCTCAAAATTAATGCTCTTCTTTTTAGTTTTAGCAAACAAATCTACATAAATCTTTCTTTTAGTTTACCGTGTAATTCTAACCAGCTAATTATCCTTGGAGTCAAGAATGAGCTGTGACTGTACACCTGGCTTTTCCGATCATATGCCTATGGTCTCCACTTTCATTTCCTCTTTCGGCAATGAGTTTTAATATTAAAGAAAAACATACACACTTCTTACATACATACTGATAGACAACCAGCTTCCAGGAAATCATGAGCTACAAAGAGAGGGGAAAATCTTAATGCAATACTTATGTTAAAGGGTATTAGTTGCTGGGTAAGCCAAGGGCAATATAATCAACAGCATCCATCTTGCCAGTGTTTTTGCATTCCGAGATTTGGAGTAAAGAACAATAATATTATTTTAGTGGTCACCCAGGTTATGACTCAGATCCTTAAACTAATAAGAGGCTAAATGTTTTATCTTCACTTACTCATCAATTCAAATGCACAGAACAATATTCTGAAAGAAATAAAACAGTTTTCTTCTACTTCTGGAAATAAAAACAAGGCATTCGGTAAACATTGTAGCTAGGTACTGAGTGATATAAAAAAGAAATTGTTTTAGATCATTAATGCACCCCAGGAGACTGTTTCTATTCCAAAAACAAACAAACAAACAAAAAAAACCCAAAAAACGAAATAGCATAAATTTCTATGTTTACCTCTTATTATATTCCTGTTTCTGCACATTAAGCATGCCTTCCTCTACAGATTTATTCTGAACACTAATATGTGTTTGCTTAATAAAATACTGCTCTATTTTACGCTTTTCTTTCGAAATTAGAAACCATTATTCCACAAACGTAGAGCACAAAGAAAGCCGACACAGGCATTGCCAAAAAGCCACAAGTAGTATTAGTACGTGCTAGAACACTTGACATTAAACTATCATTTCTCTCTAAAACTTCTCTTGCCAAAGTGCTCACAAAATCTGGAGCCTCAAAGACAGGTTTCAAGTGCAATTAAATTCTCCAAAAGCAAAACTGTACAAAAATATGCCGCCCTTCTTATGTCCCCATTTATAGACAACATTTTCTCAGGATCTTAATTAAGATAACGATGCACACCTGTGTCAACATTCTCTGGCAAGACAGCCTTATCAATCATAATCCTTTAAGTACACTCCAAAACAGCAAAGCGATATGACAGAAACAATCTGTTGCCTTTCCTGGTGTTGGTGTTGTGTCTCTCCCACAAGAATGATGAGATCTTTAAAATACAGCAGACCTACTTTTATGAGTCTTTAAAGTTTTAACTGTAAACAGCTATTACACTAAATAAACAGGAATAACCTCTTTTGCACTTGACTGAAACAATGACAACTGTACAGACAAAACTTGAAGAGCAAGCTCTTAGGGCCATGTCTTGGCAATACAATTGCAAATCGTACTTTAAAGCTTTAAAATTTAAGAGTTATGCGTAACTGGATCCGTGCAGACATGACAAACCAATAAACCTTTAGGAAGTTTTAAAATGAGAATATTTAATAGTCCTACGTTAAAAATAACATGAGCAAACCTATCCCTAGTGTAAGTTTAAATGTTTGTAAAGATACAAATGCAACAGAAAGCAAGGGGGAAAAGTCTTGGTAACCTAGGATGGGAGGGATTCAGATCCCACCTCTGCTGGAAGAGAAAGCTTCAGAGTCAAGAGACCAATGAAACTACCGCTAACAAGTACGCAGGTTCCCAAACGGAAAAGCTGATAAACAGCAAGTAAGAAAGAGGGGAGAGTGAAACATATCGTCACTACTATCCCAATAAAAAGTTAAAATCTCGTGTTTACCAGCAAAAAAGTGAACGCTTTCATATAGAAACGGAGAAAACCCGCCAGATGCTATCTGCATGCCGTCTGCCTGCTAATCACGATCCGCCCTTTCCCTTCTCATAGTAACACAATTCTATCTCAGACGCCGAGCGGCCGTGGCCAGCCGAGCAGCAGAGCCATCAGTGTGCAAATAAAGCAGAAAATAGAGACATCCTTAAGAAATGAGTCTTAAATTTGACGTAGAGCGGAGGTGACAACCACGGCAACAGAACCATACATTCTAAATGCCTCAATATCTTGCAAGAGTCTCTCCAGCCCTTGACATCAAAAAGAAGACAGTAAAAGAAAAGAGGTTAGAAAAATTTAAAAACCAACCAAAAAGAAGCCACGGGGCGGAGGTTGGGGTGGGGGAAAGAGCGCGACGGCCGGAGTGGCAGGATGATGTAATGAGGATGTCTGTGTGACAGACTCGGGTTCTCGCTGGCACAAACCTCCATGGCTCCACTCCGGAAAGCCGCGTCTCGGACCAGAGCCGCGGCGACGGGGGTGACACGCGTGGACCAAAGGGCCAGGCCCACGCGTGCCAGCCCGGGGACGCCGACACCCGAGAGGCGCGTCAGGCGCCGACGCCGCCCCAGGCCCAGGTCCTCGCACACGGGACGTCTGGCCGCGCGCCGGGCAACGCCGCGTCCTCCCGGCCCACGAGGGGCCGCGGCTCGAGGGGCGGACGGCGCGGCCAGAGGGTCCGGCCGGGGAGGGGGCTCACCTCTCCTCCGCCGCGCGGGCGCGCAGGCCGCGGACGCTCCCTCGTGGCTGGCGCGAGCCCCCGGCGGGCGGCGCGCGCGGGCCGTTAGCGACCGTTAGCGCCAGGGGCAGGGGCGGCGGCGGGCGGAGCCGGGGGCGGGCGCTGAGGGGCCGCGGGGCCACGAGAGGCGGGAGCGAGGGGAGCAGGGCGGGGACGCTGCTGCGGGGCTCTCCCTGCGACGACCCGGGCCTACCGCGAACCCGGGAAGAGGCCGCCACTGGTCGGCTCCGCGCTTCCCCAGGCTCGGGCCGCCCGGGCCGCTCCGTCTCGCTTAGGCATTGGCCGGCTGGCAGCCACCTCGGCCCCGCGGTCGCAGCAGCCGCTGCCGCCGGCTTCCCGTCTCCATGACAATAGCGCGATCGAAGCTCCGCCCCACCCCGCCCCTTTGGCGCCAGGACTCGAAGGAAAGTGGGCTTACGTCACCAGTGGGCGGAGCCCAGCGAGGCCAGCGCCCAATCATAGGTGAAGGAGGTGTCAGGCACTAGGCTGGGCGGACCCAGGGGGTTCTCGGAGAATGTAGTCAACTGGTCCGTCCTCTTGGTGGGCGGTGTCTGGGGGAGGGAGCCTACGGAAGGGAGGAGCCGGCGCGCGAGCACTGGGGTGCGCCGCGAGCGGGTGTTGGTGCCGCGGGAGGGTGTGTGGGTAGTGTGAGCTCACGAAATACAGTACATCTAGCCTGTCAAAGTCAATGAGAGAAACTTTGTATATAGTTATGCTTCGGCTTCCGTGTGGCCCCATTATGCGAAGTCCCCTAAATCCCGAGCTTCCGCGGCGTGACCAAACCTGTGCCAGCCTCTGTCCTGATTCACCAGCGCCCCTGTCTGTCCCAGAGTTCGAGTGCGTCCGTGGCTTGTGGCGGCGGGAGGTGGAGAGAAGGGGAGAGGGTCTGTTTTGTATTCTAACTGTGTGGCCGTCTTGGGCAAGGGCTCTACCTCTGACTCAGTTGTGTGTGTTTGCTGCCTCGCCAGCGCCTGAACAAACAGTGGTTGGGTTGGGCACTGCTCTGCCCAGTGTTTGCAGTGGAGCGTGGGCGGGTGCGAGAGTGCGTGCGAAGGGAACGCAACTTAGTTGAACAAAAGGGAAGGGGTTGCACCCTCGACCACCACCGACTAGGCGATGCGAGCGGCGAGCCGATGGAAAGCCGGGAGAAAGAGGCTGCGAGGCGTGGGAGTGGAGCTAGGGAAGGTCCCGAGACCTCCTCGGGTGTCGCTAATTTTCTGTCTGGCAGTTCTTTCCCACCACTTTTCCTCTAGAAAAAGGCTACCTCCGTAGTCCCAGGCACCCAGTGTCTCTTCGTTTGACCGGGGCGGGGGGGGGGGTGCAGGGAAGGGAGTTTGGTGGAAGGAAGGCGAACTTGCAGTCGTCTGAGGCCTGCCTCTCGCCCACCTGCTGCTGCCGGAGCGGAGTGGCAGTCTTCCCGGACTTCCTGCGCCCTGGGCGCGGGCCATCCACCGGCCCTCCCAGAGACCTTCATTCCGGATCTCCAGCTGGCTCTCGGACCCCTAGCTTGGGGAAGAAGCCAGAAGGGAGTGAGCAACGAACGGCCTCGGAGCCCAGCCTGCGGAAGAACAAGAAGCCCGCTAACTCCGAGATCTACTGTGGCTAGGAGAGCGCAGAGCTTTCGCCAGCGCACAGTCCGCGGCCTCGTCCTCTTTGTGCTTCGGGGTGGCCCGACCCGCTACACGGCTAGCAGTGCGTCGGAACTGCTGCTCCTCCCTGAGTTAGCAGGAGAGGAAAGTTGGAAGAGATCGACGCGCCTAGGATGTGATTGTCATCCTGGGGCCGGCGCTCGAGAGTCTGAGAGAAAGCGAGAGAGAGAGAGAGAGGGAGAGACCGGGGAGGGGAAAAGGGGAGGCAAAGAGGAGGGGGAAGAGGGGGGCCGCGGAGGGGAGGCGGGCGCTAGGGAGGGGCGAGAGGAGCGCCAGCGAGCGGGAGAGGGAGCCGGGGAGGAAGAGGGAGAGGGCGAGGCGCGCCTGGCGGCCGGGTTGGCTGCGGCCGCCCAGAGTCTCCTGCCAGTCCTCCCACCGACTACACCCCGGGAAGGAGGAGCTTCGGGCGCGCACAAGGCGTCAGAATCCTCAATTTCCAACTTAGCATCTTGGCAGGACCTTTGCGAAGCCAAAAGCAGAGCCCCCCGGTGCAAAGAGCGAGGGGAAAAAAGAGAAAGCAGCAAGGGAGGGGAGGGGAAAAAAAGCCCAGCTGGGGCGAGCGAGGCGCGCAGAGGAGCGGGCGCGGCGGTCGCAGCCAGAGGCGCGCGGGAAGCCAGCGAGGAGGCGCCGCGGGCCGGAGCCCCGGAGCCGGGGCCGGAGGAGCGGCGGCCCAGGCTAGCCAGAGGCCAGGTGCCTGCCGGCTCGCCCTCGCAGGGCGCCGCCCGGCTCGTTGGCGGCCGCAGCGCGGCGCGCCCCATGCCCGTGTGTGGCCATGTCCTACCCGCAGGGCTACTTGTACCAGCCGTCCGCCTCGCTGGCGCTCTACTCGTGCCCGGCGTACAGCACCAGCGTCATTTCAGGGCCCCGCACGGATGAGCTCGGCCGGTCGTCTTCGGGCTCCGCGTTCTCGCCCTACGCTGGCTCGACTGCCTTCACCGCGCCCTCGCCGGGATACAACTCGCACCTCCAGTACGGCACCGACCCCGCGGCCGCCGCCGCCGCCGCCTTCTCTTCATACGTGGTACGTGAGCGGGATCCGCGGCGGGCGAGGGGCGAGGGCAGCCGGGGCCCGGCGGGAGGGCGGGGGCGGAGGGGGACACAGGCCTAGGCGCCAACACCGACCTCTCCCGCCAAGCTTCGCTGCCCCCGCAAACTTGGGCGATTGTCTCCCCCGGCTTCTCCCAGGCCTCGGACTCAGGAGTTGCTCGGACTGAGAGCCGCGTCTTGCTCGGATCGCTTTGCTGGCGGGAAGGGGTTTTGGGGGGAAAGGTAGCTGCAATTAAAGAGCAGCATTTGGTGTAAACGTAAGCTCCAGCTGCCCTGCAAATTTTATATTTTTGGTTTTGTTATTTTGGAAAAGTAGTTCAAAAGAAATAGACCCGGAATTTGAGCCGAAGCATGCTAAGTCTATGTAAATGTGTTTGGCCTAGCCTTTAATTAGTCCTCCAAAATGTTGCAAATCCGTAATCCTATCTTCGCAATCCGATTTGGGGGTATTAAATTTCTGAAAAGTCGGTCGACCTGCGGTGCATCCGGGATTTTTCGGCCGGGTGGTAACTTCGGTCTGGGGTAGCATTTTTGAGGGTGGGAGTGCCGGGGCATGGCTCAGGTTTTCCTCTGCGTTTCTTTGCGGGTTGGAAAAAGAAAAGAGCCTTGACTTCCCTTGTTTTCCCCCTTGCGTCCAACGTGCGGCCGCTCCCGCGCGGGGCGCGGAGTCGGCTCGGTTGCCCAGGCCTCTATCTGGATCGAGGGCCCGGCCACTGTGGCCAGATCTGCGCGCGGGGTAAGGACGTGCCCTGGCAGATGGGGGCCTACGGAGTGGCACTGAGGCCGGGACAGCTTCAGGAGCCCCCGAAGGACCTGACTCAGGAATTGAGGCCCGGCTGCCTTCTGAGGAGGGGGAGGAGTTGCTCCTGGGTCTGAACTCCGCCAGCCTTGCCCCAGAGGAAGCTGGAGTGCGGGCCTCGTCCTCCCACAGACCCCGGGAAGCGCAGGGAAATGGGTGCTTCGGTTGTTCCGCTGGCAGTGGAGACCACGGCCCACACTCACCTCTCTGCGTCTCCACTGCAGGGCTCTCCCTACGACCACACACCCGGCATGGCGGGCTCCTTGGGGTACCACCCCTACGCGGCGCCCCTGGGTTCGTACCCTTACGGGGACCCAGCGTACCGGAAGAATGCCACTAGGGACGCCACGGCTACCCTCAAGGCCTGGCTCAACGAGCACCGCAAGAACCCCTACCCCACCAAGGGCGAGAAGATCATGCTGGCCATCATCACCAAGATGACCCTCACCCAGGTGTCCACCTGGTTCGCCAACGCTCGCCGGCGCCTCAAGAAAGAGAACAAAATGACGTGGACGCCGCGGAACCGCAGCGAGGACGAGGAAGAGGAGGAGAACATCGACCTGGAGAAGAACGACGAGGACGAGCCCCAGAAGCCCGAGGACAAGGGCGACCCCGAGGGCCCCGAAGCAGGTTGGTGGACCCGGGAAAGGGCGTGTTGGGCGGGAGTAAAAAGGAAAAGGGGGGCCTGGAGGGGGCGCGCACGGGGCCTGGAGGCTGGAGGCAAGGGTCTCTGACTTTGCGGGCGGGAACCGGGTCCAGCCGCACTGCCTCTGAGCCTCTGAGCCTCTGACAGCCCGGGTTTCGCCCGCAGGAGGAGCTGAGCAGAAGGCTTCGGGCTGCGAACGGCTGCAGGGGCCACCTACCCCCGCCGGCAAGGAGACGGAGGGCAGCCTTAGCGACTCGGATTTTAAGGAGCCGCCCTCAGAGGGCCGCCTTGACGCGCTGCAGGGCCCCTCGCGCACCGGCGGGCCCTCCCCGGCTGGGCCAGCGGCAGCGCGGCTGGCGGAGGACCCGGCCCCTCACTACCCTACGGGCGCTCCGGCATCCGGCCCGCATCCAGCCGCGGGAGAGCTGCCCCCCGGGCCCGGTGGGCCCTCGGTTATCCATTCACCGCCTCCGCCGCCGCCTCCGGCAGTGCTCGCCAAGCCCAAACTGTGGTCTCTGGCAGAGATCGCCACATCCTCGGACAAGGTCAAGGACGGGGGCGGCGGGAGCGAAGGCTCTCCATGCCCACCGTGCCCCGGGCCCATAGCCGGGCAAGCCCTAGGAGGCAGCCGTGCGTCGCCGGCCCCGGCGCCATCGCGCTCGCCCTCGGCGCAGTGTCCTTTTCCGGGCGGGACAGTGCTGTCCCGGCCTCTTTATTACACCGCGCCCTTCTATCCTGGCTACACGAACTATGGCTCCTTCGGACACCTTCATGGCCACCCGGGGCCTGGGCCAGGCCCCACAACCGGTCCGGGGTCTCATTTCAATGGATTAAACCAGACCGTGTTGAACCGAGCGGACGCTTTGGCTAAAGACCCGAAAGTGTTGCGGAGCCAGTCTCAGCTAGACCTGTGCAAAGACTCTCCCTATGAATTGAAGAAAGGTATGTCCGACATTTAACGCGGGCTGCGTCGGTCCCGGACTTTTCTAATTTATTAAAAACATGGCCTTGGCAGTTATTTTTCCATCACCGAAAGAAAGAGAGAGAGAGAGAGAGAAAAAAACCCTCCTATTCAAAAGTTTATAGTTTATGGAGATGGATGACATAAAAATGTAAACATCTCCACACACAAAAGAAATGTCTTAACCAACCGAAAAGGAAAATTAAAAAAGGATTTGTATTAAATCTTATTCTGTATATTTAATGTAGCATTTTTGTATTTAAATTGATAATTCAATATCTTTGAAGTAAATTATGAAATGAAGACACCTGTACAGGCATTTAATTTTTTTTTGTAATATAAATATATACATTTGTGTTTCCCCCAAAACTGTTTCATAGTTTAAAAATACAAGTTTAATTTAATTTTTTACACCTATTGATTCTGCTGGGTATGAGCTAAAGTATTATTACAGAAAGAAAACAGGTTATACGCTTAGATTTAAAAAGTGAAAGAAACTGCAGGCGCCTTTGTAAAATGCAAAATATTTAATTAAAAGAGATTTTAACATAATGAGAGCCACGCATTGCTTTTTAGAAGCCTCAATAAACTGTCCATTGCCTTGGTCAAAAGGTGCAAACTGCAACTTTTTTCAAAGTGGGTGTTGAAATGTTCCTCAGACCTTCAAGTGTGCCAGGGGAAAACCATAATTAGGCTGCAAGCCCCGGGGAACCTGGCCCTCCCCGGAATGCAGATCTGGATCACTGATGCGGGCTCCTTGGGAGAGATTGGACCTCGAAGGAAGGAGAAGGGAGACCCAAATGTGTGCCCAGAAGGGAGAAAAGATGGCAAAGCCAGCTAGGGACACGCACCACCCGAGCGCCATCGCTTAACCTAATTATTTCCAATCAGTGTCGTGTTTTATGCAAAGCAATCAGCTGGTGAACTTTGCTAATGAGTTCGATTTTATGCCGGATTTAGCCCTTATTACTATTTCAAGGGTGCTTCGGGCTAATGCGGGCGGGAGCATTCAGGGATGCCAAGGGGAGGGCTTTCCCAAGTCACCGTCTTCTTCTCTGCCCCTTCAAATCTGGGCACTGATCTCTTCTTTTGATTTGATTAAATTATGAACATTTCAGCCCTGACTGTGAGGGTGGCCCGCGGCCCAGTAGGTACTTGCTCAGCTGCCGGGCTGGGGTCGAGCGGGACGGGCGAGGGGACGGTTTCCCCCTTTCACAGGTAGGTGTCACACTTGTCCTGAATTTCAAGCCTGCACTTTGCAGAGTCGGAGATTGCAGTGGGCGGAAGGGGAGGAGGGAGCGCCATAGCCACTTGGGGGAAACAAGGGGAGCCCCCGAAAGGATCCCTCCCCCTCACCATGGGCCTCTTTTTGGACAAGTGGTCTTCAAAAGTTGGAGGCCATTTGCCTAGATAACGAGGACGCTGTGGACTCCATCAGGCTTGTCGTCGCTTTAGCACTTTTCTCAGCTCAGATGCAAGAGTCCGAGTAGCTACAAAAGTATGTTGAGGTTTTACTTTATCGTTTTAATCCTGCATACTTCATCTCAAAATGAAGAGTCAGGATGCACCTGAATCCCAAACGAGGAAGAATCAACGCCCTGCGCCCGAGGCTGGCCAACGCTGTGGATTCGGGCTTGGCTGCGGTGCTGGCGCCTCCATTTTGCACCCGAGATCTGGAGCCCGAACGCGTTTTACTTCGTGGGAAATTTTCAGTGGTTGGGGGGAGGGAGTGTGTGTGTGTGGGGGGGAGGGGTGTTACAGCAAAAACATACCCCAGCGAGGGGAATTAATTTGCTCTAGTAAACCCAAGCCTGACTGTAGAGAGGGAATGTGTTCGCACAACATTGGTTTAATTAGGCTAAATCAAAATGCACATATTTGCATTTCTACTGAAGATGACTTTAACCTTAACTCGATGTTGTAAACACACCCCGAAGTTTCACTGGAGTTGCTTTTGGTATTTCTTTTTTTAAAAACCTGCAGCGGATCTCCTTTAAGCTTATTCGAATTTAAACTAGTTTGAAAGCTGCATTGTCCAGATGTTTTAGCGAACAGCGGTGGACTTCAGGGTTTAAATTAGTGAGAAAATTCACGCAGGGAAAATGGTTTCAAAGCTGGAAGTGTGAATGATTAAATATGCATGAGGCGATCGTATTTTATTTTGTCCCTTTAATTATAAATGATTTTTTTAAACAATTGAATTCCAGAGATGACTTGCCCTCCCTCCTTTCCCCCCTCATCCCCCTCCATTCTCCCCTCCCTCCCCCCCCAGCCTGGTTCACAATCAGCTTCCCCCCCCCCGACCCCCCGCCCCCCGTTGAATATGCAGCCCCAGAAGCCACCTTTTCTAAAAAAGTCAGGAGAATAGGCCAGTCCCCTTCTCTTAAGAGAGAGTTTAAGGACAACATCACCTCGGCGGGGTTTTGGAAGCACTGGCCCTAAACCCTGCCCAACGATTTTAAAAAGAAAATTACAGGCCTCCCAGTGTTCCCGGGAATATGCAAATGGCACGGCGCGGGCCTCCCAAATCAGACCGCGAAGCCTCGGGGCTGGGAGCCGAATGCCCGCCGAGCTGCCTGGGAACTGGAACGGCGCACCCGGGAGCGCCAGGCGTTTCTCCTCTTCCAGGGCGGCGCTGGGAGCCTCCCGGCTGGGGAGCTAAACCGCTGGGGGCTTGGCAGCTGCTGCCTGAGTCGCTGCCCCCTGCCCGCATCCCTCCCGCCCTGGGCCTCTGTAGGGTCTGCGGTTTTCTGTACGCACTTGGCCTTGAGTACTAGCACCCAATTACGTCTGTTTTTTTTTTTGTTTTTTTTTGTTTTTTTTTTTTTTGTAGAGCTGGGTTTCTGTGGCCAGCAACTTTTCTGGCGTTTAGCGACTTTGAGTTTGGAGGTGGCCTGCCAGGCAAATCAGGGTGCGGGGCATTTAGGAAACGTCTTCCGCGCTTAACCCCAGAAGTGGTTGCGTGTCTGTAGGACCCCAAGTTTCTCCCGGAGGCTCTCCTTTGCTGCGTCTCGGGCCCTCCAGCAGGCGAAGCCTTCTCAGATGCGCTGGGGAAAACTTCCGGCGTGTTCGGGGCTCAGGGTTTGTTCTCAGGCATGGACTGGTCACGCAGAAATTGTGCGAGGCAGTGCCTAAGGTCCCAAAGTGCTGAGACTGTGCTGGCGTTTGCCACCTGCGCCTGGCTGGACCGTTTCTGGGCGCCAAGAAACTCCTACCTTGGCACTTAGGGACCAGAAGCCACTGGATGTCTAGCAACAGGGGACACGAGATCACTGCGTGGGGTCTCGTAGGCAGTCCCCTGAGGCAGTGCAAAACCCGGAACCGGCTGGGCTCCCTTTTCTTCATCCTCTGTGCGGGGCTGAATCAGTTCATGGGATTTGGGAGTCAGGAGAGGGATCTTTCTCCTTCCCGCCTACACTCCGGGTGCTAAGGCCCGAAATGCCGTTTCCCCAGCCCGGGTGCAGGGTCTGCAGCAAGGCCTCCTGGTTTGCAAACCCCTCCAGGCCGCTCATTCCCGGTGCCACGCGCAGCTCTTGGAACCTAGAAGACTGGCAGGGGAAGGAGGGTCGTGCGTGCGGTTTCGGCACCGGCCGTACCTCCTAGTCCACCTGTCCCCCACAACTAGCTGTCGACTCGGACGGAGGCACTGAACAGAGCAATGCAAACCGCCCAAAGTGAAAGGAATGTGATTCGCTCCCAGGAGGGAGCCGGACGTGGATGCGGTTTAGGAAGGGCGCCGCCTACCGGACCCGGAGAGCCAAGCGATTCGCAGGGAGGGGGAACTAGAGGAGACCCCGCTATCCCCCTACCCACCATGGGGGCTTAGCTTTTAACTCCTAGCCGGACAAACTTAAACTGCTTCGCCACCCCAGCGCGCCACAGCCCTGGACCCAAGACCCAGGTGGCATTGGGGATTTGGGGAGCAGGGCCCACAACTAGAACAGTTTTGACCCTACCGATTTCCGCCACGACTTCGGCATAGTTTCAAAAACCAGGCGCAGGCAACTGAGAAATACGAGGGCGGCTGAAATAACCGACGGGCGGGGTCGCAGCCGTGCCCTCCCCGGCAGCTCTCGCCCCACATCAGGAGCACGCACTTCTACTCCTGAGGGCTCTTTCCACGCTCCAGCTCTAAAAAAACAACCCTGTGCAGTTTTGTTTAATTGGCGGATTGGAAAATTGGGGTGCTACTGTGCAACCGCGCCCCCAAAGACCGTTTGGTCTTAAGAGCTTTTGGCTTGTGGGGTAGAGATCTGTAGAAAAGGGAAAAACAAAAGGACCCTCCCATTGCGTCGAACCCTCCTGTTTCGAAAAGAACTTTAATGAGGTCGGCGTGGCAGGGCCTGCGGTGCTCACCTCGGCTTCGCCGTACCACGCCAGAAGCCCTCGTGGGTTGAGTTCAGTGGTCTCCCCCAGGTGCAGGGTTATTAGGGGAAAGCGGGGCGCGCCAGCGGGCTGGATCTTTGTTTCCCTCGCCGCCCGGCCTTGGAACAGGAGGGCAATCGGACCCGACTGGGACCTTGGCGCCTGCCTTCCCCTTAAACTGGCCAAAGCTTCAGGACTATCCCTAGACCCACCCCGCGGGTCTTCCTTTGTGGCCAGGACAGAGCCCATCTCCTTTTCGTTTTCACGATAACTGCGACTTGGGCCCCGGGCACTAGGGAGCCCAGGTTGTGGCCTAGCAGCAGATCGTCTCGGGGGCTGGGCGGCAGCTCTGGCCGCGCCTCCAGCGCTGGGCGGCCTCTCCAGGCCAGTGGAGGTCTCTGGCCTCGTGTCCGCAGCAGGCCCCAGCCCTGGGTCCCCAAGGCTGCTCGCAGGGCAGCGGCTCGTTTCCGGCACCGGGACAAGCCCAGAGCTTAGACACCACTTTCCCAGTGAAATCTGCTTTTATTTGCTCCGAGCAAACCCCGGGCTCTCAGCGCTCCCGCCTGATGGATGCAAATGTAAATGTGCACTTATTTAATTGGATCAGGCCCCAAGATAAAAGAGATAAACGGCTCCCCGTTTGCTTATTTTCCGAGGCATGCAGCGCCGCGTGGAGGGGAAGCTAATGAAGGAGCAGCGCGGCACTCGGCACTCCCGTCCTCCGCAGCCGTGGCACGCTGGCCGGCCGGTTCCGCGTGGGCTGCGACTCTTTGTCGACCTACTTTGCACTGGCCCTGCCCGCCAGATA